GGGGGACGGGGCAGCAGCGCCGCCGCGGGGAGTCCCCGGTCCCACCGCTGCTCAGCGCCCCGCGGGGCTCCGGGCGGGTCCCGCGACAGACACGGACCGCCACCGGAGAGGCCGGAGTTGCCTTCACCAGAGCAACCAGTTACGCGGCGGGAAGAGCCGGACTGGGAGACGCTGCAGAGATGGGAAGTTCAGAGGGGACGTGGAAGAGCACCCCCGGCACCGCGCACCCCGCTTTGCCAGCAGGAGATAACGTCACCGGCTCTTCCAGGTAAAACACACTTTGCATTTACGAAATGAGGTTTGATGAACTCAGGTCCCGCACCGCAGCTACAGAATTAAGGTTGGGTTTCTGTTCTTATAGAAGAGACGTCGAGCAATCAGCAGGTACATTAAAATTACTTTATTACTAAAATATTTTTACATTTAGTAAAGATAACCAACCTGCAAACACCATGCTTCCGCTCCTCCTGAAAAAGGAAGCGCATAGGTAGGTTGAAGACAACCAGCTAAGTAACTACGTTTGTCCTAGTAGCTTGTAAGTAGGCAGATGTGTTCACATTATCGTCATCCAGTCTTGTTTGGGCTGCATTTAGAAACTGGGATCCCTGTGTAATTCAACAGCTGCATCAGCAACACAGTTTTAGAAAAAACTACTTATAGAAATTTCTCCCCCCTGGTTTCCAATAAAACTGTACAACGGGTCCAGGAACAACTGTTCACCAGCTATTGCAGTTAGATTTCCCATTAAACAACCAGGACAAAGTCCGTCCTGAGTTTTCTCCACTGTGAAGATACATTTCTCTTCTCACTTACGCAGAAGCGAAGCAGGAGCGAGTCCTCCAGCACTGCAGGGACTGCGGCAGCGTCACACCCAGGACGGGACTTGGGCCCCGCAGGTCCCAGTGCGGTTCTTATACTTGCATATACACAGGAGGATCGAGGCGGAGCACCCGTGGGTCTCTTCATATTCCGCTCTTTTAAACTCTATGAAACCAACAGGTATTTAACAAAAAAAAAAAACCAAACAAACCAAACAAACCAAAACAAACTAAAACGAACGCAAAAGGAAAGAGAAACCCCCTCAGCTGCCTGCAGATCGGGTAAGGTCAGCCAGATTTTGCCTAGAAGCAGCTGTTCGCTTTGTTGAAATTGTATTTAGACAGAACCAACTCTCCACCCCACAGCTTTGTGCGGAGATGCTGAGCACCACAGGCCATCACGGGCTCCTGCCCGGCGGGGGCACTCTCAAAACAGGGACTCTGCCCCCAAAGTACCCGATCGCGCGACACCCGGGGTCAAAGTAAAAGTCAGACCTTGATACACTATTAAACCAAATTTGTACATATAAAAATAATTGTACAGAGGAAGTATTTTCAGCAGAATACAATCTTTAAACATTCAAAAGAATATACAAAACTAATTAAAAGTAGCCTTCTGTACTTCAGGGTGTGGTATCATTAAATACATCCAACACGGAGCGTGTGTGAAGACATCGCATCAGCATAACGACATACTGGTGGTATTGGTTATAACAAAATACTTCATCTACCAGAATGGAAGAGGAATTCACAAAAAAAAAAAAAAAAAGGATAAAAACCAAAGCCTGAAAACCATAACAAAAACACAGAAACAAAATGAAAATGTACTAAAATTTAATCATTCATAAAAGCTGTAATTTAATCTGTGACAGTAAAACACAAGAAGCAATATTAGAGTTGGTTTAGTATATTATATATTTTTGCTTTTAAAGCCATAGAAATCAGTTATCCCAGTTTTTTTCCTATAAAAGACCCATTTTTCCAAAGCATTATGCACAAACATTTTTAATTAGAATACAATGGTAGAATGAAAATAATGATATTCTGTAACTTTTAAATATAAAATGAAGTCAATGACTCAAAAAAGTTATTTGTTGCAGTGAGTTCAAGGGAAATTTCAGGTAATATATATCTATAGTTATAGATATAAAATATAATGGTGGAATATTCTTAGTGCTTGATGGGGAGAAATTATGATAAAAGGGTCAATATGAAATTTTAATTATAGTAGCAATATCTAACATTTGAAATGCATCCATGCTCCTTTGTATAATCATACGCTAGAGTCAATTAGATTTATTTTCACATCTGTTAACTGCTATTGCAAAGGAGGAGTATTCTTGTCTTAAATTTCCAAGAGATATACACAGAGCAATTTCTTTTTCCAGGGACTGTGTGCAAACCATTTTAAGATCTAAATTCTTCTCAGAGTATATAAAAACAGGAGAAGCTTCTTCAGATATGTTATTAATTTCCATAAGGTTTTGAAGTCGGGAATGCTGGCACTTTCCATGTAGGCAACAGTTCTTCATTCCTGCAATCTAGAAAAAGGAGAAAAAAAAAAAAAAAAAAGAGATGATGGAGGGATGCTTCTCATCCTGCCCACGAGACGAATGCTCTCCAAAGGCCCGAGAGCTTCCCCAGACGAGGGCCCGCACCCAGCCTGGTGGAAACGGGCAGCCCTTCAGCTTATCTCCCACCAGCACTGGGGTTTGTTCCTACCGTCCTCGAGTTCGGAGGTACAGCAAGAAAAGAGACTCTGGAAACCGTAACTCTAAGAAACAAGTTCTGGGTTTATCCTGACCGCAGCAGGGCAAGGACAGCGGCCACCACCCTGTCGCTCCGCGGTGATAACGCCAGTGCCCAACTCCTCCTGCCCGTCCAACTCCTCTGCTTCACCAGACAGGCAGCCTTCAAGTGGGTTTTGAATTTGGCAATGGATGAACAATTTATGGGAGAGGGATTTCATCTTTTATATCTCTGAGATGCTCTTAAAGTCTAATCAGCTGGAGACCTCCCCGAGCCCGATTCCAGCTGTAACAACAGGCAACGAACTGGGAAGAGGTTTACAAAGAATGGGGGAGACACTGTGAAGTATTTTGACCATCTAGAGCAGATTTGGGGGCATGGGCAGAAGTCAACGTTATGAGAAGTCTCATCAGTAACTGACTGAATGCAGAAACTCCTTCAGCAGCAGCTGCTGTCTCAGCGCCACGCGGCTGCTGACGCCGGGCTCTGCAGCGCGGGACCCCGGGCAGGAGGGCGAGGGCAGAGCCACGCCGACCCGGCAGGGAGCACGTCCTCCGTGAAGTCACCCTGGCTGACACCACGCTACCGGAATTCAGATATATCACCTGAGGAACAGGAAAAGCCACTTGAGATGTACTCTTCGATTTCTTTTCCTAAAGCCACCGTTTCCCACAACCCTAAGCTATCATTTTGTGGTGTTCAAAGCTCAGGGTAAGGGACTCATCACTCAGTAAAGGACAAGTCATTAGAAGCCAGGTTAACTGCATAGCTCCACTTATCCTACTCGGTCACACCTAGGCTGCATACGTGGCCATCTGCAGCACGAAGGTCAGACCTGGCAGAAGGCAGAGAGACACCTGTCTTCAGGAATTCATCCCTGAGACCCTGCTATGACCAGGAGTTTGTTTCAAACTGTGTAGGACAAGGGCACCTGAGTTGCTTTGCCCACTCCACCGCGCCTATTTATGATGCTAAAGAACAGAACACAGAGCTTCTGGTGGGTCACAGAAAGGATGAGAAGTTGGCAGCCTCTGCAGCCGCGGATCACGCAGGCAGCCGGCGACCCTGCCCTGCCGCGCTCACAGCCTGACCGTGCTGTGTGCTACAACCACCGTGCGGGACAATCTGCTTGCTTTGTGACCGTTTCTTACTTCCTAGCGTTGAGAGGGGCCATTTACGCCCCAGCCTCCCTGTCTCGGCAGAGTGCCACGCGGCACACTCGTGTGTGACACGCCAACGGCTCACGGGGCAGCCCAGGTGGTATTTCTGTCCAAAACCTGAAGTTACAGAAATGCTGTTTTCTTTCAGGAGTGCGACAGGACGGCTGTAAGCACACAGAGTACCCTGCCAAGATACACAGGAAGCTTATTTATAGCTATGTCCAACCTTGGGGTGGTTTTTTGTTTTCATTTTTGTTTTGGGTTTTTTTTCTGGTGGGCAGCTTTTTATTTCTGTGACATTGAAATCCATGTCCCACCCAAACCAATTTGCAGTTGTCCCAACAGCACCTAGGACTGAGACAGCAGCTGCAACAGTAACATGAATTACACAGATGCTACCAAATTTCAGAAGAGGATAAAAAGGAAGTAAAACTGAGCCGTGGTGGCCCAGAGCACGGTGTCGCAAGACAGAGAGAGAACCTGCAAGAGTAAAAGGGAAGCTCCTGCTCTGTCACACTCATCAACCCCAGCAAAAGGAGAAGGGAGTGAAGCAGATATTTCTCTGCCAGGTCAGTCAGTAGAACTGACTTTTTTTAAGAAGTCCAACAAATGCAGAATTTTGTATTTGGGAGCAGACAGAAGGAAGAGGAGTGGAGGGAAGGGGAGCGAGTCCTCTGTTGGGAGCAGCTCATGGTCCTGAGCTGTGGGTGGAATTCAGACGCCTCTTACCTGGCTCAGAGCTGCTGCACGATGGGAGTCTAAAGCAGCAGACATGTTTTCTTTTTAGGCTTCTTCTTTTCCACTGGTGTTTTTCTATTTATCTGTCTGACCAGGTCATAAAAGATCTGAAAATGAAAAAAACACAAACTGAAAAATCAAAGTGATAAACCACTATGCCAGTGTCAAAAGTCAGGCAGGTCGGCAAGCTGATACTCTTTCCTGGGGGCTGCAGTCTCAGAAATTCAGTTAAACTGCTTGCATTTGCTTAAACGTGTTTCTCAAGCAACTGCTTATGGCACAAGAGAGCGCAGAGCTCACAGCAGTGTGCAGAACATACGGGAGCTGTAAACTCACACCCTGCGGCACACAGCTTTCTCCTTCAGGTCGCATATGACCAAAGGCTTCAGAAGAGGACAGCAATGAAACGGCAGCAAACCCCGAGCTTTAGGAATGTGGGAGAAAACTGGGGCATGACAAAAGGTTTCTTAAGACCGGAGTAATATCCTTAAGGATCATCTTCCCCCGGTGGTCCCTGGGCTGGCGAGTGTCTCTGGGGAGCAGTGCTGCACCGGCAGCGGCGTATCCTCACCGCAGGGAAAGGCATCCCTTTCCCTGGGCTTTCACCTTCACAAGGGGTCTTCATCCACCCACTGCACAGGACGCACTGTTAATCTTCCTTTTTGCCAAGCGCATTCAAGCTTTTTGCTTGGCCTCATCATTTGAGTTTATTAATAAAATTAGCAAGGAGAAGCAAAACATCTGCCCTGAACTTGGACATTTCCAGAAGGAGACGATTACAGGGGCCTCTTTCAGCTTCAGAGACGGGTTTCTTGTGAACGCTTCTGCTGTGAGTTGTTTTCCCAGCAATACTCAACCCATTTATAGCAAAATGAGCTTTGCAAAAATGCTTGGAGCCGGGTCATGGTATTGAGGAGAAATATTTAAACCTTCAGAAGGCTCCACCCTTGTCCTTGTTTACTTTGTTCCTTCCTGGTGTGGCTGACAGCTCACAAATTCTTGTTGATTCCAAGGAAATTCAGAAGACAAAGAACCAGTTTATAAAACAGTGCAACTGGAAATTTAAGATTTTCCAGCTATTACCTACATGAAAAAGCACTAGTGCATAGTTAAATAGTTCCAAATGAAATGAACGTGATGGTGGCTTTATTAAGGTCTCATGTAAAATATTTTATAACAGCATTTGAGTTGCTCATGCTGCTCCCTTACTAAGCTTATTGCCAGTTTTCTCCTCTCAGCCTCAGGCAAAAGCAGTAGTTCGTACTCTCTAACGGGCAGAGCCAAGGCGTTCAGAAGTGGACAGATGAGATATAAAGATAAAGTTTCTGCAGAAGCCAATTAACAAGTGGCATCTTCTATGCTGATGCAAACCAGCTTTCAGTATTTAAGCCTTTATAAACAAGAGCCAAGATGATTTGAACGTGATTAGAAAGTGCAGGAGTCTGAATTTCTGAAGGCACCAACCATCTTTGCTCTGCCAAACGAGATCCTTGAATGCTCTGAGATAGACCCCTCTCGCCTTCCCAAGGCTAAGGTAGGGGGAAAATCCATCCGAAAAAAATCTAAAGTTAGATCATTTAAGTGCTAGCACTGCTGTGAGTATGGAAGTGAAGTCTGCAGCAAGGTTTTGGGAATGCCACTATCCCTAAGAAAAGTCAGTGCGGTGCAAGAGCATCACGCAGGTCACCAGGAAGACATCTGAAGCGCTGCTACAGAGACTGACGCTCACCTGTATTAAACGCTCACCATCTGTATGAAAGGTTTGGTTCGCTTTCAGCAAATGCATATAGAAATTTATCATACTTTAGCCCAGATTTTTAACAAAGTTATAAAGTCCAAAAGTAGCTAAAAAAACCACAAACCCTGAATAATGTAAATGCTTCTGCAGTCTGTGAGCCAGCAGAACAAAAAATTAACCAGTACAGTAAGTTGCTTGACTCACGGTATTTCTTCTCTTTGATTTCCTCAGCTTTTATGCTTTTCATATCCAGACAATATAAACTGGCAGAAAACCATAAAATTAACATCACAATAAAACCAGAAACTGATATTCCAGATGATAATTTTCTTCTCTATGATCTGAGTCTCACTGGAGGCAGCAGACAGGACAGGGAAATACAGAGACACGGGATTCACATCTTAAGGATGACTGTATGTAAAGCATGGGCGTGCATTCGCCCCAGGACAGTTCAGTGTTCTGCCTACCAGAGAATCCCCTCTCCTGCACAGCCCTCAGCAGAGCTTTACGGCAGCTTTGGCTAATGAGAGGTCAGTCTCTGCCACAAACTGTGGAAATACAAATAAACCAGAATTTGTTACACTCCGTGGTGATCAGTTTGATGCCCGAGCCACTAGATGCTTGCTTAACAGCCGCAGTTTTACTACAGCTCAGACACAAACACAAAAAATATCCCTTCTGGCAGGAGTCTAGCTCAGCGAGCTATATTTACCGGGTTAGATTAGTGCACACTACAGCTAGGCTAATCCCAGCCACAGAAGCTGCAATTCATGCAGCCTGGAGCTCCCTTCCCTTCCCACCGGGTGATGCCGTGCCGCGCACGTCCCACGAGCTGCCAAATTAACGCTGGGTCCGGTCCAAGATCCTACTGCTCCTGCTTATCACACAGCCTCCTAAACGGCCCCGGTTATCTCCTGGCACCACACCAGCTATGCTCAACAGGGTCACCTTAGCTTTTGTGGCTGCAAACCTGGTCTCTGTCACAGTCAGATAATTTACAGCAGAGAATAAAAATTTGGTGCCTGATGTCAAGCAGAAGCTCCCACCGCACAATGACAGTACCTCAGGCAGCAGCAAAAGGTACACTGACTGCAAAGGTGTTTCTCATTCAGACATGGGGAACTGCTGCTTAGACAGATATATGTTTGGACACGGTCTCAGTAAATTAGTGGCGTACCAGAGGAGGACTGTGATGGGATGTCTGCTTGAGCAGCCAGACGTAACAGGAATGTGAAAAGCACTTTCAAAAACAACAGCCAACACTGCGCAACATGACATGTAATACAATGGGGCATAATCCACACTCTGAATAGCAGCAGCAGTTATCTTGAAAAAGTATACTTTCCAGATAAAGTTTATCTAAGCTAAGAGTCACCCAGTTATCTGGGCTTACTCGGGACCCTCTGCTGTTCACGTCCTCTGACACAGGCCTTAGGAACCACTTACCTGGAGATGTCAGCCACCCTTTACAGAGAAAAAGGAGCAGATCTCCTTAAAACAAACAGAAAGCAATAGCTAAATACACTGCGTCACAAGCCTTTCTTAGGCTGATACTTCAGAATCATCCTGAATCTTCCCCATTAAGAACTATATGAAGGCTCACATGCTGGTTTAATGTGGCGTTCATGCAGAAGTAGGAAAGACAAGGGAACAGCTGATAGTTACCTCATTAACGTTGATTTTAGACTTTGCAGACGATTCTAGAAAGGCACAGTTACACCACTGTCTTGCTAAGTTTTGACCCTGTTCTTTGCCAACTACACGTTCTTCCTCCAGGTCACATTTATTGCCAACCAGAATCATTGGAACCTGGAGAGGAGACAAGCAAGAACAAGAGATGCATCAGCAAATTAACAACAGGGACTGTAATGCTATGGTTTACAAAGACATGGCGGGGGAGGAAGGGGAAAGACAATATAGACAGTATGAAAAACAATAAAAATCAGAAGTTCAGCAGAGCCCCCAGACTAGACTGCAATTTAGATGCCTGCTGGGAGAGGGCTGAAGAAAGTCCATACTCTAGACACCCTGGTTCACCAAGAATTAAACACATGGAAGACACCTTAAGACCAAGTGGTAATATCTCAGCACCATCTTAAGTTAGTAAAGTTAGTAAAAGTTAGTAAAGTTGGGTCTCTACATCCAACACCGTTCTAGTTAAAAACTTAGTTTACCAACGCATTTTAGGACTCACATGTGACAGTAGGCTAACAGCCTGTTTTAGACAGCAGAACATACAGCACGTGTTTTAAGACATGTTACATGTTTCAGCCCCTTTGACCTGTCCTGTCAACCTGTTCTCAAGCCACACAACAATAAATGGAAGCACCTTTGAAAAGCACTGCCCTGGACATGGAATAAAAAGGAATAGTCCTGTGCAGCCAAGTATTCCCACAGCCCTGTGCACAAGACCACCTGCCTTTCTCATCGCAATGCAATATCGTACTGCCGACATGTTTTGCATACACACAGAAAAGCGGATGTTCACTACAAAAGGCACAAACACTGCGCTCGATATTTATGAGATCAGAATAATTAAATTTCCAACTAGTCACCATTTAGCAGCTCAGCTCCTGAAAGGACATCACTTCCAATAAATAATCTCACACGATATTAAAATAAACATTTGATACGTGTTCAAAAGATTCATCCTGCACCCATGACGCAAATACAGGCAAATAATTTGTTCAAGACAATGATGAAAGGGCATCTGCCCTCTCCTTAAGCTCTTGGCTTTCTGAAGTCCCTGGGTGAGTCACCTTCTCGCTCCTTCATGAGGAAGAAAGCGCCTTGGGGAAACCATGTTCCTTGTGACATTTCCTACACAAAACCAGAGAAATCTAACACCGTAGGAAAACGACCTTGGCTGGAGCAACTGTTTATTGCTGATGTGTTTGCAGGAGGCTGCACGGAAAGGAGGGTCCCTCGGCTTGCCCAGCCCTCCCACAAACGGCATGAAGGCCCCCAGAAAGGACAGGTCTCCTGCTCAGCCATAGCTCACCGGTTCCTCACCGGGGCTGCGATTGTGTTTGCTTGGCACAGTGTGGAGAGCCAAGTGCAGTCTGCACTCATTAAGTTATAAATCCATTTGTCTCAGAAAGTATCAGAGGAAGCGCTGGTGAGCGTAAGCAGCAGGAGACTTGCTCTCATCAGTTGTGGTTAGATATTGAGTTAAAACTCTTTCAGGGGAAAGAAATTGGGCAAAAAGATAGAACAACAAAAAATACTGTGACATCTCAGAATAACATCCTGATATGCGATTCCAGGCGGCTTTCTCCGCTTCTCAGGCAGTCTCTACCATGGCTGCAGCCCACCAAGATGTCACAAATAGGTAAAAAAGACCTTAAGCAAGTGAACAAAAACCACCTAAAGCCTCCCCCAAAACCCCGTACCAACCAAACCGACCTACCCTCAGGTGCCATTTCCATAGCTACAAGAGGGTGAGATTGCAGCGCAGCCCCAGCCACTGCCCGCCCCCCCGCAGGACCCTTCCCCGGGGCACCCAGCCCAGCGCCGCCGGGCGCCCCAGCCCCAGCCCACACGCTGCCACCGCCGACTGGCGACAGGGACGCCCCTCAGGACTTTCGACGCCCCAGAATCGTGGGTCACGTATCATTTGCAAGTTTGCTTTTGCAACCTGCATCCCGCATCGATGGGAGGGGATGACACAGCCAGAGCTAAGGTGGATGTTGGAAGGCGAGACGGCGGCGGGGCTGCAGGACGCACTGCAGTGCTCGGTGTGCACGCAGCAGCGGCAGCATCCTGTTTCCCGTGCGCTATGTAAAAGTAGAAAACACCTAAAGAACTGCTGATAATGGGTGTGCACCCTGCTCCATTTCCTGAAGCATTTCGTTCTTTGAACAGAAAATGAGTACTTTCCAGCTGGAAAGTAAATCATCATCCACTTCCTTTGGTAATTTACAATACGCTGTACGTTTTTAATCTACTTCAATGTTAGTATTTGTAGTCTCTTCCCGATTCAACTACATTCAAGATTAATTTTTGTATTTAAAACTCACAGCCATACTGATTAGGAAATGATCCCATTTTTATTTTTGAAAAATAAGTTTTGCTTATTACATCAGAAACTTGAAGTAACAATGCCGATGAGGCAAATTCTAAAAAGCTCCTGTCACATCAGAGATAGTTACAGCTATATCAGCTTAATCCCAGTTTTCTAGATAGTTAAATTTTCTCATACCAAAACATGAAAATGTGTTTTGAACAGGTTCCGCAAAAAAATAAAGTATATTAAGATGTGAAATAATAGGAAAAAAAGGTGATACATGGGTAAACAGTATAGGTTTGAAAGACACGAAGGTTATAAAGTATAAGGTTATTTCAAAAGGTAGTCATTGTTTATCATAGAGCCAAACCCAGACTTTGATAAACAACTAGCTTTTGATCATTTACTATTTCATGTAGAAGACGAGTTTAAACTTTGTTAGACATACAAAATTTAATGGTTTAAGTATTGGGATTTTAAAAGACACATTCTGAAACTAAATACAGGAAGGAGCGCGTTTTCCTAACTCAGCAGAGCATGGCTTAAATGTTCAAAAGGTTCTCAAGCTTGGATTCAACAAGTAACATCCCCCTAACACAAAATAAATAAGTGCATTTTAATAATTAAATCAAATCACTGAAGTAAAAATGAAAGCAACAATCTCTATTGTCCGATGAACTTGACCAGCTTACGGTGCACATTCCCCTCCCGCGAGCGCAGTGAACACAGCGCTGGGCTCCGACCGCAGCTAATAAAGGACTCAGGTTACCAGGGATTTCTGCAAGCATAATCCCTACCTAAATGAAAATCAGTTTTGCATAAAGAGAAGTTCAGCTTGTTAAACCAAGGAGGGAACCAAAGCCGTTCAAAACAAGGTAATTGGGACACGCAACACTGAAGATGCGGGAGAAAGCAGCCGAGCTGTGGGCTGCGCGCATCCCACCTCACTGCACAAACTGCATCCTCCTGAACGGCGGTTTAAATACAATGCACGCGGCTTACCGGGATTTGGCCTAAATACGTGTCCCGGCCCTGCTCACCGCTCCCCAGGGCTCCCCAGCCGTGCTGTAGGGAGAGAAGGGCCGGGAGCGAGCGGCTGCTGCTCCCCAACCCCTCGGGGACTGGAAAGCGGCTGACACCAACCGAAAGCCATCAACATCAAAGGCAGCAGCTACTTTTAAGTTGTCAGTGGAAAAATAGGCAATCTTTTTCACGCTCCTCAGGGCAAACCCTTGAATACATTACCAACTGTTAGGCAAAAAAAAAATTAATTTCAGCTTCTTCTGGAGGAAGTCTACACAGAGAGAGAGTTCCCACGTCTCCACCAGCCACACGGCTACCACGGCAAAAGCCGCCGGCAACCTCACCTACATCATATGTTGAGAAATTAAAAGCTCACCAAGGAGTTCCAGTTACAGGAGTTGGGGCCTGAACTGGAAATACAGTAGATAGGTTTCTTCTGTCAAACAGGGCTGAATGCAAACTGTCTTAATGTCATTTTTCCTTACTGTAAAAAGGGATTTAAACAACCAAAATTACAACCTTGCGTCACTAGCTAAGACTCTTTCAGTCTTGTAATGATTTCATACATACAACTGCATGATCTCCTTCGGGTTGCAGATTTTGTCAAGTGCCAGAAGGAACAAAGCAAACTGCGCGAGTTGCCCAGCCTGGGAGGGGAGGGCGAGGGTGGGCTGCGGGGTGCCACTGCCGCTCACGGGGACGGGCACCCGCAGAGCACAGCTGAGCCCCCCTGCTCACACACGCACCTTGGGAGCCACAGACCCTTAAACATCCTCTTTTCCCTCAGAAAAGGATAAGCCTGTTTTCATACGATAACCTAAAATTCTGTAAAAGTTTTCGTTTTGATGGATTTGAGTGCAGCCGAGCGCCCAAACCAAGAGACTCCGCGCAGCTACAGCAAGGGAATCTCCACTTCGCGCTGCAAGAGCCAGGGCTCCGTCATCTAATGAACAGGTCCTGCAGCTGGAGCAGAGGCGACTGAACAGGCTCTCATCCCACCTCCCCAGCCCTTCCCGATACAGAGAAATGAAAATAAAGGAACATCCAGCAATTTAAAAATGAAAGAAAAGGGAAAAAAAAAGAAAAAAGAAAAAAGCTAATGACACTTAAATTACAAGGCACAGTCTGGTCAATAATCGGAACACATCCTTTCTATTTGCAGTTCAAGTTCATCAACTTGGATTATGACCCGTACGCACGTGAACGGCGCAGAGGGCACAGCGTCCAGCACTGCCCTGCGCCAGGACTCGAGAGACTTCACAGCCGACCTTCAGGAAACGTCACGGCTTTGTACTTGTTTCGACTTCATACATTTGGGAAAAGGAATGTTAGTCTCCATTGAAAGACAGCTGGAGAGCTACTAAGAACATCGTTATTGGGGAGTTTGACTATTATTTTTCCTTAACTTTGAGGGAAATAAAGTACCACTAAAGCGCAGCAAAAGAAGAAAATGCAAATACTGGAAAGGAGTTGAAAGGAAAGAGGGAAAAACAAACAAGTTGTTTTTTCAATCAACTCCCACCATTTCCAATGACTGCGAGCCTTCCAGTACATTTGAAAATTTGGCTTCATTATGCCCCTTAGTAGGTGTTGGACCTCAAATAACAACACTGAAAATAACTAACAACGCCAAGGAAACCTACTTCAACACAAAACTTTGCTATACAGCAAAGAATATTCTTAGAAAGAAATTCTGCTCACAAATTCCTGTACACCTAGTTACAAAGACATTTTAAACATTTTCAAAACAAAAAGTACTCTACTTACATCTTCAGTGTCCTTAACCCGTAAAATCTGTTCCCGCAGGTCCTGTAAGTCGTTAAACGTGGACTGTGCTGTTATAGAATATACTAGTGCAAACCCTTGACCATTCTTCATATAGAGATCCCTCATTGCTGTAAATTGCTCCTGTAATCAAATATTTTAAAAAGTAATTAGCTTGCAGATGCAGCTAATGAACATTTACAAATGAATACTTTTATTGTAATGGAGACAAGAATATAGTACCATACAGCATGCATTTACATTTTTACCCCTTACAGAAATCCA